GTGTTGTCATATATAAAGAAAAACAAACAATGAACATTGCGAATTAATTAATTAAAAATTAAATTATATATATATTTTTTAAATGTGACCAATAAGCACGGGTAGCTATAATAGTAATGTAGTAAGTTTTGCTTGAACAAACACTCACGCACAATTATTACTGTTTTACCTGTATCGATGTTTTACGAAGACGTCGTTCGTGTACTAACACGCAATCGATGAGAAAGCGAGATTCCCGAATTCGTCGTCCACGTAGAAGTATTCATTTACAGAATCGATAACCATAACTGAGCTCGGCAAATTATAATAATATTTAAAACTCGTACGATTACGATAAAACACGTGAGCGTTTTAAACGATCAGAGTTTGTGTGAATTCACAACGGTATAGCCTCGAAAACCGTATTCACAGCTTGTAGTGTGGGAGGGGGAGGGGGTGAGATCTACGTTTCGAGACAACAAGAAGATGAGCCTTATAAGCGAACACGGGGCTCACAAGGCCGTCGACTTGCAGGCGATGGTCGGGGGAGAGGTGAACTCTTATCTACACCACCACCGTATATACGCACAGGTTATATACTTGCGGTCGTTAATGATTAAATAACGAACGCGAAAATCTATTTAACGTGCACTATTCGTAAGTGGATCACTTAGTCCAGATTCTTGGAATATGTATACTCTGTGACCGGGCGTAGAGAGTATTCGTTGACGTCGCCAAAGTCGCGCATCCCTCCCCCCTGAGGCCGTCATGGTGGAGCGGCGTTTAACGGCACGAAAAAAAGTTTTCCACTCTGCCGGAGGACCTACGCCAATTGACCCGACTGCGAAAACCCCCCGGGGCTAACGTGATTAAGAATTACGATACTCCACCACGACACCACCACCACCTCGCTCCCCATCACCATTAAGCATACACCTCTCGAGATCCACACGCGGACCTGAGTCAGAAGGGCGAATATCGAGCTGTCCCGTTATTATGTAAATTATACCCATAGTCCCCGCATAATTCGTGCACGTACAAAGTATCCGTTTAACCAGTCACTATCTTTTTAAATGGTTAGTTGAAAAAAAAAAAATATTCATACATTTAACAAATTAATATGGTTGATTATGAAAAATAAAGTAATAAAAAGAATGTCACAATATTTTATGTTTCCATTATTATAGTGGTTGTGGTAGTAAGCTCTCCAATAACTGCCATTCTATACGAAAACGATCGTTCATAATAAACACAATAATATTCCCATCCCGATAACAGCGTGGAGTTCCACACCGACGGAGACCTCTATTCAACCGTGTACCGAAATTAACTATTCAATGCGCCGTTCAAAAGATATAAAGACAATAATAATGTATCCTACACACACCACAACCCGTGTTTTGTGATTCAGCGTAAATTTAAGTTTGGTTTTTACGTCGTCGAGGTGAGAATAGTGAACCAACCAAAAGGTATTTAATTGTAATTAAGCAATAAATTATATAGGTACCTACATTTTTTTTTCAAAACTCCACAAAAATCTAAATTAATTGGCAAGAAGAAATTGGCAGCAGCATTAATGGAGCATGCTTTATAATAATAATATGTTTTTTGAATTATGGCATTAATCAACAGAGGAGAAATAAAAATATAATGATTTTTTCTAATAAATTTTAATTTTTTCTCTCGACGATGCGATTGTCCACAATTTGAAATTTTTCTAGAGAAACCAAAATTATTACTACTGACACTCCCTATTTGTGTAATAATAATCAATCATGAGAATATTTAAATTATTTCGTATAAATATTAATCTTACCTAGTGTATACATTCAACTGGTTGTAATGTATAAAATTAAAAAAATGGGATAATGTCAATATATAAAATGTAATATTCTCCCTGTATTTGTTTACGTTTTGTAACTCATTTACCCCACCTCAAGTTATACTTTCTGGGGTAAATAATTAAGCAAATGGTTTTATTCATATAATATTTAAATAATATTAATGTAATGTACAATTTTTATCTAATTATATTAAAAAAAAATATAATAATAATAATTAATGGTATTAGATAGTGGTATTTTGAACGTTTTAAGAACTATGACTTAAATGCAATGTAGGTATTAACCGAATATAAAATACGTAGGTAAATTATAGCTATTGTATAACTAGGTCAATTGATCGCGTTTAAACTTACGTGTTTATGACTTGCAATAGTAGGTAGATAAATAAAAAATGTTGGTGGTACATCAACTGTCTCAAATTAATGTGTGGTGTTAGTTCTAACAGAAGTTATAATAATTTTTCTATTTACATTTTTGAAGTCCAACCATAGTTTTCAACACTTTTCTATATGCTCCTCACTCCACTAAAGAATTTTCCATTTGGATCCGACCTGATAAGATTATACATTTTTGAATCCAGTAGAAAGTTTCTCATGCATCAGCTATATTTCAACAACTAACTTTGAACAATCTTAAATTATTGTGTGAATATTATAAATTATTTTAATTATATAAATTAATATTGTGCAACATTCGTGAAATATTTTTCTTCCGCTTCAGAGTATTATGAGTAGGTAGTTGAAGTGAATCTTTACGACTACCCTTTCCAAGCTATTTCAACCGTTATTGTATTATTATATGAAGATAGTGCAATCATTTTAATTTCAAAATAAAACAAAAAACTATGTGCGAAATACAATGTTTTTATAAAATTGTTTAATCGAAAAATATCTCAAAATTTGATTCAATATCATTTCGGTCCCTACGACCAAAACAATATAATAAATAATAGGAATACTAAACAAATAAATAATAATGTTTCTCAATTTTAGCTTTTAATTAATATTATTGGATTTTCTAACCAAAAATTATCACATAACCGATCTGAATGAAAAAGTAATAATTAGGTTATTTTATTAGTAATGACTGATAACTCACGTAATAATTGGTGTGCATGTATTCAATTTTTACCCTAAGTTCTTCAAAAGTAACTATATACAACTTAATTTATTTCCATACTATATTTATCATAATTATAGTATTATTCTTATATGAATGAATTTTAAGAGTCGTATTTTACAAACTGTGCATTATTAATAATATAATGTTCATTTTAATGAAAAAATGTATAAATATCGGTTATAATTTCATGAAAGTTAATTGGAATTATTTTAACCACGAATATGTGGTGTTTCTATACTAATAACTAAAAATATTATTTGGCAATGTCATGACGTAAATTCATATTCTTCAATTTTTGGTGATTGTTGAATTAATTAAATAATGGATACAGTTAATGTTATTATAATGGGTAGGTTTATATTTAATTAAAGTACACTTTAAGTATTTTGTATAATTTAGAATCAAATTGTGAGGATTAGAGAACTTTATTAAATTGACGGGACATACTATCGACAATCACACAACGGTATTCGGCAGACGACTGACTGTCGGTCTTCGTGTATAGGACAAACTCTTATTTTTTTTTATTTAACAAACTATCCCCGGCATCTGTGACGGCCATTGGATGTATAACCACCTCTTATTGTTGTTATACTTATTACGTTTTCTTTTTATTTGGATAACATATTATGGCATAAATAATACAAAATATAAATAATTCAGTAAACAATAATGTCACGAATGATTTGCTTACAAGAGCTAAGCTAACCTATAACGGTATACAATATTTAATTATTTATAATATGATTTCCACTGTGAGTTTGGGACTATGTAACGATATTTACGACGATCAATATTGCAAATTGATAAAGGTAATTCGACATTTATTAGGTGCCGAAACATCGAGACAAGGAAACCAAAAACCATAAACAGCGCCGTATACAAATAATTTGATAGCGAAACGTGAGTAAATATATATTGTATTTTCAATATTTACTCTCGTAATCTGCCCGACCCTCACACTAGCCCTACCAAACCTCTCGTGCCGCGTTTTTTCAGCGATATTTCACCACCCCGACGAGGACAACGAGGGGTGAAAAAACCCAACCGTTACGCGACGAAATGCGAGGGCGCAATATAAGTCTATTTTTCGTAAGTCGTCGACGACGAGGACGACGAGGAAATAATAAATTATCCGAATCCCTCTCGACGGGTATTCGTTTTAATTTTGTCCCGCACCGTAATCCTGGCGGCTGTGCGGGTCCATATTATACTTAACGAGGTCTCGTATAAACTTTCTAATTGTACCCCACAACATCCGACTTCTTATTCTCGATCACTGTGTGTAGGGGGCGGTTTCTTATAATACGCATTGTACGCGCGTCGAAGACTGTGGGCGGGTTGTGCGTGTGTGCATACAATAAATAGTGTTTGCGTATATATAATATATATACATAGTGACTTGCGGTGGCCGGTCCGCGTCATTAATTCAACGTCCCCTCGCAGTCTCGCTCAAAACCCCCCAAACGACCCAACGGACGAGAAGTGCATCGAAAGCCGTATACTCGTAATACCGTGCACTCGTATATTTTATTATACAATGTCCCGCGAACGGATGTTCCGAAATAGGTTTGGCTATTTTTTTTTTTTGTTTTCGTTTTCCGTTCGCGTCTCACTATTATAGCATACGCCGAATACGCCCGTTTAGGGGGAGGGTTATGATGGGGTTGTCGGGGGAGAGGCCGGTCGTGTACGACGATTCTATAGATATTACTCCGTAGTCGTCGCCGTTCGAATACGGAATGCGCTTTATGTAGAGTATAATAATATTGTAAATGAACGACAGGTCCCCTGACCGAACGAGCCTCCTCGCCGATACAATATAATATATTATTATGCTCAAGCACTTTTATCGCATTCAAATGTGCATCATAATAAACAAAAAATAATGTATTTTGGCGTTCGACGTGAAAACGCATTACTTATCAAGCGGATATTATACGTTTTTATTTCCGGATATAATTGATTATCCAAAACACGTTCAAAGTATAATACTATAATGCATACCTAACTAACAAACAACTATAATACTACCCATATAATTATTATACTTACAGTGAACGCTGACAGTGATGCGTTTGCTAACAGACGGTGGCACTCCGTTTGACCCAATGCACAGGTAAGCTCCCATCTCGGATCTGCTGACCTTGGTCAACCGCAACACTTCACCCTGGTATGTGGTAACTGAAACACATTTAAATAATAATGTACTTCTGTACACTGTTCAAATATTATATATTATATGTAAGCCGTACATTTATCACGGTTTACGTAGGTAGTTAAACCAATAAACTAAACATGCCATAATGTAGGAATGAAAATAATCGTTCAAACCAAGCAGGTTTCGCCCAGCAACAAAACACATCAAATTAATAAATATTTTCAAAATCTTTCAAATTAATTTTTGAAAAATATAATCACTTCGCTTAAATTTTAGATTAATTTTAAGAATTCCGTTTCAAGTCTATTATTGTTTGTATATAGGTACGAAACTATTGAAAAAGGTGTTGAATAAAATCTAGATGCAATCCGTAAAAAAGAATTTGATATAATATTGCAGGTTATGTGTACTCGTGGTGACTGACTTGGCAAAACTCAAATCACATTAAAAAAAAAATAAAATAAAAATACCGATATGTCGTGTACGATTTGGGAAGGTTTCGTTCAACATCAAAGATTTAACAGTTATAGCTTGGGAAAAATTCCTTGTCCACAATTTATTTTCGATATAAAACCGGTATAGCGTGATGATAGATGAATAAAAACCATTATTTTTTCTTTTGATGCATCGAGTTAAAAAAAATCCATTTTGTTCAGTTCCATAGTTTTGTATCTGCTTAAATAAATAGGATTTTACTCTCTCTCTGTCTTTCGTATCCACTTTGAAGACAACGGAAATCCAACACCCACCAAGGTAAATTCGTTTTTGTTTTTTTTTTTCGGAACATATCCCAAAAATTGATCTGATTTTCGCAAACAGAAAAATCTGTTACAAACAGGGACAGAAACCGGTTTAACCGGTTTTCTGAAAAACCGGTTAAAACCGCGGTTTTTGAATTTTTGAACACCGTAACCGAAACCGAAACCAAGAGCTTTAAAACCTCGGTTAAAAAACCAGAACCGTAACCTAAGAATTTAAAAAACCATTTATAATACCCAGACCGTAACCAAAAAATTTTAAAACCGTTCTTAAAACCGTTCTTCAAAACCGATTAACATTTAAAACTAATATCGGTTTCTTAGAATTTTCTAAGATTGTTTAAATTTTTATTTTTATTAATTCTAGTTAAAACAAGTATTTTTCTACGAAGAGAATATTATATTTGAATTAATATGTATGAAAAATTCCCGATGCTATTACTGAGTATTACGAAATATTAATAATACGATATTACGAATATTATTCTATTTATACTACCTACCTATATTTTATTACTAGATTTGTTGATTCTAAATTAAAATACAAATATCACAATTGTTATTTTTATCGCCCCTATGCGTGGCTATGCACATCTGTATTGTAAATTGTTATTATTTGAAGAATTCGTCTATATTATTATTTAATTAGAATTGTATTTTCGTATTCGACTGATCCGCGTCCGTCCCGCTGTCCCGCAGACCGCAGTTATCATTAATCGCCATTGTCATTCTCATCAGTCTTCGATTTGTGCTTAGTGGTAAATGTTAAAACTTAAAATGGTAAAAAGAAATCCGGTGGAACGTCTTTTTTTTCATTATAATGCTGCTGCAAATAATAGCCAATGCCTTGTTGAAGGTTGCTCTTCCAACTTGACCGGGAGACATGCAGCCAATTTAGAGAGGCAAATCCAAAAACTTCATCCAAAGGAGTTTGAATTGTTAACTGTCATCAACTTTTAAATGTATTAACTTTGCTTAACAATTTAGCTATTATCTTCCTATTATACAAGATAGTCTCTCTTTTTAAAAACATATTACTGATATTAAGGTTTCTTTAAATTGTTTTTATATTAACAACTAACAAATAATTGAAGTGAAGTTTTGTGATAGGAAAATTTGAGATAAAATATTGTGCTTATAAATATTCAAAATGGGGATGAATTTTAACCCCCAAATGCATACTTTGCATGAGACCATTTTAAGGAAGCTATGGTTTAAATTTTAAGTTCCTACCACTATGGAAAGTGCATTAAAACAGTTGTATTTTTTACGTAGCACATATTTTTTTTATAATCCCCCCCTCCCAGACATAAGGCATATTATATAATTTATATTGAAAAGAAAGAAGATATTATGTACTACATAATATAATATAATATCTAATATACAGAGTACATGTATTTAGTATTTCTTACTGAGTGTCTTAACTACTGCAACATACAAAAATATATTGTATTTGTGTCCATGTAATATGTTATTAGGTAGGTACTTATTAATTATTATTTACTTCCTATAGGCAATTGGTGATACAAATTACCAATGTTATTAAAAATATATGTATAATACCATAATATACCTTTATTGAGTATGTATATATAATATTTATATATATATTCCTAACAATCCCTTGATCAGAACCCAATATATCTGTATCCTTAGACAGTGCCTTTCCCCTTAATAGTTAATAGATAATACAAATCAGGTCTATAGATATAACTGGAAGGGGCGAAGTAGTGTGACTTATTGGGAAGAAGTACTGCGACCAACGTCCAACAACCTCCATCGACTCTCGATACCATTGAAAAAAAAAAAAATATTACTGGAAACTAAAAACCGTAACCGAAAATTTTTGAAAACCGTGGTTTTTGAAACCGATAAATTTAAAAAACCCTTTTTTGAAACCGAAACCAAAACCGAAAAATTTAAAAAACCGATCTTTAAACCTAAACCAAAACCAGAAAATTTTATAAACCGTTCTCAAAACCGAAACCGAAACCGTTAAAATTTGTAACGGTTTCTGTCCCTGGTTACAAAACTGTTAAGCTGCTTACAAATGTTCACAGTGAATCCAATTCAATGGTTCACTAAATCAGGTTTGGTCTTTGCTTACAAACTGACCAGACTGATATTTGATACTCGTTTGTCGTGGTAAATAATTATGTTATTCTGTATCAGTGTATTTTTATTTCTTTACAACATTACGACCTTAATACACAGCTCAAAGCGGTTTTAGGGAGATTTCCAAATAAATTATTTCGTTAACACTATTGTCAAACTATGTACAATTTAATGTTTGTGATGATTTTTTTATGTTTCATCCGAAGTTAAATTGATTTTGATTTAATAATATTATTAATTTCACAAAGTTTTATCAGAAATAAAATAACTATTAATTTAGTACGAAACAATGAATTTTTCTAACAATAAAACTTGAACAATAATTTGAATGCATACGGAATAGTTTTCAAGAATTTTAATCGATACCTTGTGTATTATAACAACACAAACACAATTTATTATTTTCAAACTCAATATAAGTACATTTCATTATCACAGCAATAATAACTGGCTAGTTTCGGTCGAGTAACGATATGCTCTTATAGTCTCATCAACCACTGTCCATATTCGATAGTGTACCAATAGAAAGTCTTTCGTTCAACATAAAATAAAATATATAATATTATCGTTTTGCATTCCAACTTTCGTTTTAAGTTTGTTTGATTTAATATATATTTTGCTTTTTAATAAATAAAAGCAAATTTATAATTACTTAAATCATAATATGTTATATTATCACATTCCACTATCTCTCCGATAAGAAATGGTCATTTTTACAACTATAATATATTTCTTGATTAAAATAATCATTTTTGTATTATCATGTTTTCCATCTCCAAGTGAAGCATCATGCAAATTATTCATTTGGGTTGGTAGTACATTTTATTACTAAATATTATTGTTTTGGAATATGTTTTGGTATCCGTAAATTTAACAATGAATTTAATAATATTTATAAAATAAGAAAAGTATATTTGTTGGACAATGGTAAAAATAAAATACTGTAAATCTTATACGTAATTAATTAATTTGTATTGTACACCACACACCTAAAATACAACATTATATAAAATATCATAGGAATTATCGCGGAATTAATGTTTCCAGCGCCTTTTTATAATGACTCGTAATTGTATGATTATTATATTTTATATGGTAGTTATACAGGTGAAATAGTTAGTAAACCGTGAAGAGTATTTTTTACAACTTTCAAAAAACAGGATTTACTCAAAATTTGCAATAGCGTTTTAAATATTTTTATCAGACTTTAAAAGGGATTTCTAAATAATAATAAACAACGATTTCTTTCTTCCATAACGTTTTACTCGATATTCATTGGAATTGAAAACATCAAACACAGACGTTTATCTTCTACGTGGTATTTCAAATCTAAAGCCGTTGTTGTATCGAGTTCTATAACAATGACAAAAAGTATTTTATAAAGAGCTAAAAAACGTCCCGCAGTAACAAGGTAAAAGGAGATCACAGTTTTAGTTCTTTACTGTATTTTTATATTATAAACCCAAAATATAACATTGTATTATATACCTATGTGTACGTGTATTTGTTTATCTTATTACCATAAACCACTTTCAAATAATCTACATTTTTTGTTTTGAATCGATACAAAGTCGAAGACGAACATGCCGCTTATAGTTATCATAGTCGTATTGCATTGTACGGCATTGTATAGTATGAGTTGTTACTTGTTTGTAATGTATTATTTCGGAATTTTCGCATATCTTGATTAAACACGTTAATATAATTATGAATAACAGTCAGTTAAGGGTATGAAAACTAATTAGTAATTTCAATATTAATTAATAGTTGTGTGCTGACGACAGATACTTAAATTACCTAGTTACTCCACGTGGCTTGGATTGGCTTGAATGTGTGTCAAACACAACGATGACGAGATAATAAAATCGAAATTGTCGGTCGATCCGTCAAGAATTATAGCGCATTACACAAGCCTACAATATTATAATAATTATTGTCAGATGTCTACCCCCTCCCCCCTCCCACCAAACAAAGCGTCGCATAAACCGTACAACAATATAAATTATTGAGTACGATGAAAACGAGTCGTCGACGGAGTTAGGCTCAAATAATATAATATACACATACATGCGTATGTGTATTGTGTATATATGCGTGTACATGTGTGTGTGTTTGTGAGAGAGTATGGATAACTTTTTGAAAGGAGT